GGGGGGGGGGGGGGGGGGGGGGGGGGGGGGGGGGGGGGGGGGGGGCACAAAGCTTTTACGCACGACAAATAAACTAAAAAGCTGTGCGCGCAGAGACGAAATGGAAAGGGGGGGGGGGGGGGGGTCTAAGTCTGAATTTACCCAAAGTTTCAATATGATCCGTCTCAGCCTCTTGTGTTTATCATGAAACTAACTGGCTGCTTTACTGGTCTGGAGTGGATTCTCAGTTTCCACGCGCTGTTTTGTCCTTGGCATGCGCATTGCGGTACAGCATCGTCTGTAACCGGCAACAGTTTTGTCCAAGAAAACTAATAATTTCCCTTCAAAGCGGTCTATAACGGGAGGGAAATGTCACCGGGGTGGGGGGGGAGATGGTGCATTAAACACCAGTGAGTTCTACAGACGGGATGCTTTGTCAGCTGCGGACAATCTGCCAAGATTAGATCTGAAAATAAGCAAGCTGCTCTAATCCCCCAGCTCTTCTATAGTTCCATAAAACACCGATCAGGAGTCGGTGTGTGATTTAATAACGACGATAATTCACAATTAAAGTGAAGTTACTGAGAATTTGTAGGGATTCCGTTTTTTTTTTTTTTCCCTTTTGCTTTCAGGGTTCCTGCTCTGCCTCTCCAGCTCCAAAATGTCTGGAGCGCGCTGCCATCTAGCGTGCGTTGTACAACTACAGCTTCACATGACCGAATGGAAAGTCATCAAACATGCATTTTTAAACACTTCACATCAGATCGGGGGGGGGGGGGGGGGGGGGGGGAGCAGAGGAGCCCGCGAGTTTGCGTCAAATCCTCATTTGACTTTTTACACTTCCTGAAAAGATTTTTTTTATTATTATTGTTGTTACTCTTGTTTTGTTAAAACCGTGCAATCGAACCACAAGCCAAATAGATCATCAATAAGTATCGATTGCAGGATCACAACGAATGCAAACTGTCATGGGAGTGAAGTTATAAATTGTGGAGCTCAAACGTGTGCGGCTCCGCAGAATTCATCTTGAACGCATGCAGCAAAGTTTAGGCACGTGAACATATTAAAGGACAAAAAGAAGCATCACAAGTGTTGCCTTTGTAATGAAACAGGAGTTTTTTTATTATTATTTTTTTATATATTCAAGCAGGGAGCCCTCTGTCCCGTCCCGGACACTCCATTGAAACTCTCCGGCCGTGTCTCCAGCTCCTTGAAAAGGTGAAACCAATAAGATTAAATCGGACAATGATTATTCCTCTCCCTCCCCCTCTCTGCTTCTCTGTTGTGTATCATTAAGATTTAACTCCGCAGATTGGTAAGTATAAGGGGCTCTGCGTGCACGAGAAGAGGGAAGAGTGAGAGTGGGCAACGAATGGGAGCAGGAGGCTCTAATCCAAGACTGGGGAGCGGAGGAGAGGAGACGCACGGGGCGCGCGCGAAGTGGACGGCGGGGATGTTGAGGAGAAGAGTGTTCCAGCTCAGGAGCACCAGGATCAAACCCGAACAAGGCAAGTTCTTTAAAATAAACGATTTTTATAAACGCGCGGCTGAATTTTCCCAAAAGAGTCGCGTCGGAGGCGCAACTTTAGGAATCAGTTTGACCGCATCCTTTCCCTCCGCGTAATTGCTGATTATTTCTTTCCCCCCCTACACCCCCACACCCGCACTGCACGCGCTCCCCGCTGATTTGTACATCAGATAAGTGGTGATACTATCAAAGGTTGCAGAGGAGCACGCGGGACATGTTGCGCACGTTCACCGGCGAGCCTGAACACATAATGAAAAGATCGATACTCGTCTGTTTGTCTCAAGAGATAGTGTCACCCAATTAAAAGTCTGATCCGGGAGTCCTCAGCTCACCTTTGAACGACAGAGCTGCTATTTTAGTCCTAGTAACTTTATTATATTATGCAGAGAAATATTTAGATCCGAGGACACGATTCAGCGCGCGCGGCTGAGTCTCCTGGACTGAACTCACGAGTTTAAAATCGTTTTGAGTAAACCTGCAAAGTTGTTCCCACGTAGCTGTTGCACAAGTCGTGCAAAATTTATTTTTATGCTGTTCAAAGCTTTAAAAAAAAAAAAAAAAAAAAATATATATATATATAATGCATGTTTTGCATGTGAAAAAAGTAGAAAGTATAGATAGCATGATGGATTTATGAAAGTAGCAGCTGTTAACCTGCAACAGGTATTTATTGTTAAATATAATAGTTTTTATTTTAAAGCAACATTAAAATGATCAAAACAATATAAAGAAGGGAAGCTGAAATTATTTCCTCAGTCCAAATTCCTTTCTTTGGGAAGGCTCCTTAATGCTGCACAAAGAGTTTGAAAATCACAGAGGTCACAAGTCCAACCCCCCTCCCCCCCCCTCCACCCCCAATAAGAAAACATTTCAAACAATGCAAAGTGATGTAGACATGTCTAAATGTTCGAGGGGTGACTTGATTCTTCTTCTTGTTTAATCGCATCAGAGGCAGCAAAGATGTTGTTTGGGTTGGAGGAGAGACGGTTTCCTTTTCCAGGGACCTCTGCTCCAAACGGGCTCCTGGACGTCAGGGGACAGCTCGTGACCCCCCCCCCCCCCCCCCCCCCCCCCCCCCCCACACACACACACA